AATTTTCCAGTCCCACGGATCCTGCGACCGTGAGTCAGGAACACATCCCATTAAATCGTAAATAACAAGCTATTGGAAATGACACTCACCAGGTAGTGTAAAATATTTTAGTAATTCAAAAGCCTGTCACTGTGACATATTTCTCCTCCAAAAGAATTTCAGGAAAAGTTTCATTTGTGCCTGAATTATTTGTATAATCAATTTAATTCCATCTACGTATGAACGCCCAAAATGTCCCTCGTATGCCAAATCCCATAAGCAGTGTAAGGACTGTCAGAAGCCAGCCTCCAACAGTCGTCTTCATCCAGCTTGCTGCCTTGTTTCTTAAACTTGAGAACGTGCCACTGCTGAGTCACACGTCACAGGGGGATTTTATGTGCTTTTTGATGAGATTTCTTGTACTACGGGGTGACCAAAATATACCTCTTGGCTGAGATTTTGCATATTATTTATGCAAAATAATAAGCTTGATATCAGCAAGCTTTACAGAGGCATGTTCTCTTACTATAAATTTCAGATTCCACTAGTTAAAAATATATAAAAAGCATTTAGGATTTGAGGAGAAGTTGGACTTATTGACAGTAGCCCTCCCAAAGGGGGATGAAGATACTGGGATATGCTGGCAGTTCACCCAGTGAGGGCCCAGCAGCTCCAATCCAGGGGCATGTAGACTGGTGCTGGGCGAGCACACTGCAAGTGGCAGGTGTCCCCCTAGGTCAGCGTGGCTCCCATCAGCCGGCTCATACTCGGAGAGCCGGGACTTGAAGGGGCACACCAGGTCTGTAGGCCTGCTGCACAATGACTGAGACTTCCCAGGCACTTTCCTCCTGGACCTTGCTGGGAACCAAAGCCACCCCTTGGCAGCAATGTGGCAGCATCTGGTAAACATGGATGGAGGCCTAAGCCGCCTCCTCTTACACGGAGTCTGCGAGGCAGAAACAAAACAGGAAACTCACAGTTGCCAACACAGGGCAGCTCCATGCAAAACATCGCATGTGCTTCAAAGTTAGTTTTCAATTACGGAAGTCATTCAGATGATTAAAACCAAAATTAATGTTTCGACGTTATTTAAATGCCAACTGTTCAGAACCCGTGGCCAGTCCCTGGGGTGAGACACGCAGCCGGGTAACGCCGGCAGGCGTCCAGCTGCCTCGGATGCTGAGAGCTCTTCCTCCTACAGGCGTTCAGAATTCATCAAGTGATTCTACATTTCCACTTCTCTTTTGCCTCGGGAAGCTCATCTTGTTTCTCAAATTAAGCATATATATCCAAAGACGAATCAAAGACACACACACATCAAAGGACGATCTGAGTATCTGAGCAGAGATGGGCTTAGCTGACCTCGCCGAGTGATGGTGAGACAGACACACTGCCTGCCCTCCCCAGAGCACTCAGCCCCACCAAAGGCACACATCATCCATCCCTACAGTGTCCTCAGACCCCCAAAAGTGAGTTTCTGAGAAAAAGGTTTGGAGCAGCAAGGCCCTGGAGGTGATGGAAGGTGGCCTCACTCCAAGCTCTCCGTCTGTGCCCTGGGTGCCCTCAGGCTGCTCCTGCTCCCAAGTGTGCAGGACGAGGTCCAGGACCCAGGAGGAGGACAGCCCTGCCTCCGCCAGCCCAGCTTCCTGAGGTAGGGTGGTGTTCCCTTCCTTGTATTACTCTGGAAGGTTCTGTGGTGTCTGCTTATTGCTCCATGGGCACCCTTTGGAGAGCACAGCCTTTTCTGTCCACCTACCAGCAGTCAGGTGCCCACCGAGCTGGCACCTACTCTCTCTCTCCCCACTTCCCCCACTGTCCCTTCCTCCTTTGCTGAAAAATCACAACATGAAGGACAGAAGAAGGGAGAAAATAGGCACAGATTCCAAATCAAAATTTCATATTACATCTTCAAAGGCATATTTTTTAAAGAGAAAACACAAATATTCACACTCTCACCACTCCACCTGTTCCTGCTGCAAGTTTAGGGTATCTGATGAAAGGGGCTGACACAGGGACCCAGTGCATAAGTGATGTACCCGCTGGGCCAGGTCCTGTGGGGACAGGTGTGCTGACAACAGCCCAGCCCAGGGAGCAGCCTGTGAGCCCTCACCAGCCGCTGCCCGGGTTCCCTCCCACCCTTCCTCTGCAATGCTGGGTACATCAAACATGTCACTTCTTCTGCCTTCTAGTCCTGGGAACTTAGACTCACTCTCCAAATGTGCCTTTTTCTGTGAGATTCGTTATGTAAGGAGGGCAGTGCAATGACCCAGTGGGAGGCAGGAAAGGGGTCAGAGCCACCTCTGGCTTGAAGGGAAAGATGGATCCCCCACCCTTGGGCACAGAAACCCCCAACAAGCCTACTTGGACAGCCACTCCCCACGTACCACGTGCATACGCACTTACAGTACACGGGCCTTGTGTCCACCAGCAGCTCAGGGCTGCTACACTATCTCACCTGATGTGTGAGAAATCTGAGCTCGGGGTTGGATGACTTTGTCACCGTCACTGAGCATGTGAGGCATAGAGCTGGAGCACCATGCAGAGATTCACCCTCTCAGCACACAGTGGTGTTCACGCCCCTGGCCAGCCCAGCTGCTCCTACAGAGCTGGAGTATCATGTCAGAGACTCACCCTCTCAGCACACAGTGGTGTCCACGC